AGGAGATGCCACTGCATTTATACAATTTGTTATTTAAAATGAAGCGAGCATCAACCGGAATCATATCGTTCCCTTACAGCAGGGGTGCCCAACTCCAGTCCTGGGGGGCCGGAGCCCTGTGTAGCTTAGTTCTTTCCCTGTTCCACCATAAATGATTCAGCTCAAGAGCTGTGTGTTAATTAGCACAAGGAGTTGAATCAGGTGTGTTAAATGAAGGGAAACCCAAAAATGTGCAGGGCTCCGGCCCCCCAGGACTGGAGTTGGGCACCCCTGTCTTACAGTCTTGTTAGTTTGTCATAAAGGGACGCTGTAGCTACATGTTATTTGTGCTGCTGCAAAAAACAATTTGAACATATAAATACAACAAATACTGGGGCTGTTTCACTTTGGTAGCATAAGAAAAAAAAGGATTTTTCTGAATGCGGGCGGCCCTGTGGTAATGGTGCCGTTGATGGAGCTCTTTGGCGCTAGGTGGTGCTGTGTGTTCAAGGGTTTCTAAACTTGGAAGCGTAGTCATGTGGGGTTGTCATTCACCCCGAGAGCGGCGGAGCTGCTCGGTGTCACACTTTTCATTCTGTATTGTTCAGTCTACTAAAATGTGATAGATCGTTGCTTTGGGATTTGTCATTTAAATTTTTGCTTGCAGTTTTATGTGCAGACATCACAGGTGTCTAGTCTCACGTATTACCCGTGAGACTCACGTTTTTTTGTCCCTAACTCAAATCTAAATCTCACGTGATGTGATGCGCTTAAACCAAACAAAAGACAGTTGAATAGAAGCAGCAAAAATGACCTGCTGCGAGTTGCTTAACTGGGTATACATAAAAAATATGCCGCCCTCTTTAGCTTCCCCGTATTTATTTCCAGGTTATAAATGATTGAACGCCGCCTATGGTCCGCCCTCAATGTGAGATAGCGTGATGATGCAGTGTATAGAGCACGAAAATGTGATTAAGTGCCTTAATGAGTGTCCTTTTAGTGGAGAAAACATGACGCATGTCCTATGAGGTGCCCTTACAATGGAAAATGGCGCAATTATAAAATGTCCTCTATGCAACCCCTACATGATTAAAGGTCCCAATGGATGCAGTGCTATAAAGGCTACTCCTAAGCGGAGTGCTCAAATAGGTGCCCCTCCAGTGGATAAAATGGGATTCAGTGCTGTATAAGGTGTCCGGCCATGTCTGAGAATGTGGGTAATTGTCCTAAAGGATGGAGAAAATGTGATGCCATATCAGGTGCTCTTACAATTGAATAAACTTGAAGGGTCCTATGGGGGAAGATGTCATAAAGTGCCCTTTGTGTGTGCCCTTCAAAGTAAGGAAACATGATAAATTGCCATTGGTGTGCCCTTCTATGTAAGGGAACCTGATAAATTGCCATTGGTGTGCCCTTCAAAGTAAGGAAACATGATGAATTGCCATTGGTGTGCCCTTCAAAGTAAGGAAACATGATGAATTGCCATTGGTGTGCCCTTCAAAGTAAGGAAACCTGATAAATTGCCATTGGTGTGCCCTTCAAAGTAAGGAAGCATGATAAATTGCCATTGGTGTGCCCTTCAAAGTAAGGAAACATGATGAAGTGCCATTGGTGTGCCCTTCAAAGTAAGGAAACATGATAAATTGCCATTGGTGTGCCCTTCAAAGTAAGGAAACATGATGAATTGCCATTGGTGTGCCCTTCAAAGTAAGGAAACATGATGAATTGCCATTGGTGTGCCCTTCAAAGTAAGGAAA